GAGGATCCTCATTTCTTCTAACAAGTCTGATTGTTATGATATCATGAATGGTAGAGAAAAAGATTACATTTCATTATATTGCAGAATACTTGAAAAAAGACTCGCAAATTTCAGAGTAGAATACAATGTTTTACTCTTTCAATAGATTTTAGCTAGTTTCGATGAATCTCTTGAGATAAAAATGATGTTTAGACTTTCATTTTGTATAGATATATATTTATGATAATTTCAGTTGTCCAGCAACCAAGATTGGCCTTAACACAACAATCAAGTTGGTGCAGTCTACAGGAAATCCTCTCTCGCTCCGGGCACGAAATACGTGTCAGAATAATTACAATAAAGCCTTACGTCAGACCTGGTTAACTCGAAACCAGGGAAGAGAGTTCGATGACTGAGTCAACCGGAACACGCAGAACAACAGGAATCAGTTATCGTCTTCTGTTGGGATTGGCCATCGAATCTCCACTGGGGTTAACAAATAATCAAAAGTTTTCTAATAATTCATTTACCAATAATAGAGTAAATACGTATCTGGTCGAAAACATCGGTGTAGTTTCTCAATAATAGTGCCGTTTGTAGCGCCTCATGATACCGGCCTGCATACAGGTGTCGCTGTGTCAACAGAAGAAAGTGACAAGCTTCTGCCCCATGCCAAGGCTGGTCAATCAATCTGCCAGTCTGCCAATCAGCTATTACTGGGAAACCAGAGCCGGCGGAGCTGGTCGTTAGGCTGGGAAGATCCGAGCCTCGGGGCGGCTTGGCGGTTAGTTTAGCATCGGAAACCGGATCAGAAGCCTGGTCACCCGAAAGACAGGATTCGGCTCTACTGCGTCGCTCCGAAAAGCCATGGTTAGAAAGGAACGAATGCTGGTAGCCTACATTTGGATTAGAGGATGGCACTTTTGTGGCTGACACGCGTTGCTCCTCCAGCAATAGGCCAGCTAGAGCAGATTTCGCCTGGTACATCACAATGCAAAAATCGGTAATAGATAATAAGCCAATCGAAATAAATTATGCATACTAATATAACTAATGCTAAATATTCAATGTGAGTAGGATTGAAAAGTGACACATTTGTTTTTTAGGCAAATCATTTTGAGAATGAATAAAAGCTCATGGCGATAAGGGGGGTACAGTTCAAGGCTGCTATCAACTTTTCAGTTAACAGGTTGTCTTACGAGAATTTAAAACGATCCTAGCCACAAAAATTGAAGGTAGGCTTAATTGCTGTACCAGATGCTATGAATTTCTAGTGACATAAATACAGAGTGAAGGATGTTTGATCGGCTGATCGCCATGCGACCAGGATAAACATGTGCTAAGATTTCGTCTGCACTGTGACAAGCATAATCACTCAAGGAATCCATACTTTATAAAATGGCGCATAAAATATACCAAATCAAGAGAAAAGGTGGATGACTGCAACCCTATACTTGCGATTTTAATGAGGCATCCCATGATTTGATTGGCTACCTCAACCGTACTTCACATGCAAATGAATCAAGTGCGTTCGGTGGCATCTGTTTCCTTACACAAATAAGCTCGTGTATGATCCTATAATGTTGAATCATGTTTGGGCTTGTCCTATTGTCTATTATGTGTATGTACAGTTAATCTCATGGAAATTGTGATAGCTAGACTCAAGGTTAATCCAGCCTCCTCTTGTTCATTGGCTCTTCCTGCACTCCCTTTCTCTAGGTCTATCCAGAACACAGTTTTCTACACTCGTTCTACCTATTCAGGACGTTGACTATTTTGTTCATTGCTACATTTTAGTTCAGTTTTCGTAACCAGCAAAACATTGTGTTTTGGACCAATTTATTGAATGTCCTGCTTCAGCCGTGCTCCGAAAGCTCTGGTTTTTAGACTCCTAGATTATGTTGTGAGCACAAAAGGTTCTGATACAAAATTAACGAAAATAAGGCCCGACTAAAGAAAGTGCTAATTTATCTTTATGCACTGCTGTCAAGCTCCACTTGCTCAGGAGACATCCTGAACAACATTTTCGCAAGTTGACAAGAAGGCAAAATCTTGAACCTAATACAATGGTCTATCTGTCTATCCCCAACTAAATAATAATCTCTTTTCATCTTGTTTCTAAGTATTGAAATGTTATTATCTTTTAAGCTTTGAAACAATATATGCTAACATCGACAATTAGCAATCATAGATCAGTATGTTCGGCATAATATGCTCCATCAATGCTTGCTCCAAAATTGCCAAAATGAAAATTTAAGCATAAGGTACAAATTAATAACATGAGGTATATCTTGTCCAGTCGGTTGATCTACAGCCTATAAAAGCAAATATTTTTGTGGATTTGAGAATATGAAAGCTGGAAAATATTCGAGAACACTTTATAATGGTTGTCGTATGCATAGTCGCTTCTGTGTTCTAAGTTATTAATATATGTTGTGTATGAAAATTTCGTGGTAAGACCTGGAGAGCACTGCTAAGTATGGAGTCCATATAATAAGGCGGTTCATCCAACGAATATAATTTTTCCATTTCCATGACTTCGATCGATCACACCAGAAGACGATGGCTGATTTATATTGTTTTGGAGTCGTTTGAATTTAAGGCGTTTTCCTTTTTTTCGGGCTAAAACGGATTAAGTTTTCTTTCACACTGCTTGGATGCATACATGTGTGTAATTGCATGCGTAAATCAATACGAAACACAAACCTTACGCTATCATGGTATGACTATAATTGCGTATGCCTGAAATTTTGGCTTGGCTGGAGAATTTTGAGCGAATATGGGTGTTTAGATTAACAACTTTTTCTTCCTTTCAGTATATAAATCAGATCAAGGTAGATAAACTTTATACCCCGTTCCTTAAATTCAAAGTATTTCATAATTTCCTAAATTCTTGGAGTTATTAACAGATTTATCGTGAGAACAAAGTGAAGAGGGTAATTTGAAAAAGGGTGTTGTCCCTTAGAAAATAAGCATGCCTTGAGCAAATAATCTCCTTCAGGAAACCTATTTCTTATTGGAGGGATAATAGTTGTAATTAATTCTGAAAGACTAAAATACATTTTTCAGCCTAGATTTAGTCATAATCCTAATAATTTTTTACTTCAAAATTTCAAAATTAATTTATCCACTATGATTCAAGAGAAAATTCAGAACATAATCAACACGTTAATACTTTTACTTGGGTTAAGTAAAAATAAGAAAGTATCTGACATCAGTTCTCCTTGCGGCCAAACGAAATCATTGTCACCCATGAATCTTTGTAGCTTCCATTCAATTTCTTAGAGCTAATCTTTATAGTTTTAACAAAACTACTACTAGTTGAACTATGCAAATCAAAATGTCTACCAAGAAAATAGTAACAACGTTATTTCCCGTAGTTGTAATTTAGCGAGAAAACAGATTAAAAGAATTTGAATCGTACAATGTTTTGCAATGTTGTCTTCAAAATAAGGTTCAGGCTAAGGAAGTCAATGAGACTCGTCCAGGTGAAGCCAGGCTGAGTTGTAGCAGGTAGTTGCTCTGACAGATACTAACAAAGTAAATACTCACACACAAAAATGCAAGCACTAATATTGATATGAGAAAGAATTAATCAAATTAGTATTTATCTGTCCATCTTTTTTTTAAGTATATATAAGCATCTAAGTTACGAACTGCTAGTATTCTTAACTGCTAACTTGAAGTTCAGACTATGTCTATCTGTTAAGTTGTAGGATCGACGAAAGCTTAGCCATTTCAACTGTAAATAAAGGAAGAAATCTCGTATAGTATGTAAACCTGAACGTTGCAGTATAATCAACCGATTAAAGAATAATATGAATCAGTCGTCGCTTTCTGGCGAGATCAACCTATGAATAACTATATTCACTTTTATAGGCAGTAAAACATTCCGCAGCTAATGTTGCCTGCAGAGTGTTAAAGTAAAGCAGAATAAATTTGGCTACAAGATTGAAGGGACGTAGTCTTTTACATTCGAATTTAGTGACTCCTAACAGATTTTGACTAACTTTTATATGCACTTTTATAATGATTAAGTAATGATACTACTAGTAAATTTTGAGTTTAAATTGTATTTACTTTAAGGTTATGCAAGTCTCTCATGATGCTATTATAATTAATTTAGCCTAACCTCTTAAAACGTGATGATGCACATTTTAGACCTCACTTACCCGGATTCCATTGCTGTTGAGGATGCTGCTAAAAGCCAGGCGAAGTCGAAACTGCTGTCCTTTGAGGAGGCGGCACTAAGTGGTAGTTTATGACGTCGTTTGACATTTAATCGACAGCTACTGTCTACCTGAATCCAAACGAATCTCCTTTTGCATTTTTTTTACATATTTGCCAATGGATTTTCAATCTTTTATATATTTTATTTAGGGTTAAAACTAATTTTCCGTCACTAAAAAAGGTATTTAATTCTGGGGCAATCATCACCGAAGTCAAACTTTCGAATTCCAAAGGATAGGAAAATAACGAAATCTGGAAGGAAGGAAAAGGAATTTATTCCAAAAATTAAGCGCATTTGCGACAAGAGCAGTTTTGACATTACCAGCAACTCATGAATATGAACCATGGGGTTAGGTAAGGACTGACTGGAGAGTTTACCCACAACCATATTAGTTAGACTCACGATATCATTCAATTTGACTTATTGCTTTCTAAATGATTTCCAATCCTGACTGGACGGCAGTTCCGATCCCGCCTAGACCCTATTGCACCCCTCGCGGGATTCTTAACTGATTAGTGCGTTCGTGGGAAAAGCCTGGATGGCACAGTAAAAAGGCAAAATAATCCATTAAATCCCAAGTATTCTAAGGGATTTTTGCGTTGCTGACCTCAACTTATGTAGAAATTTGACGACTTACCTCAGTGCTTTCGTTGGCCTTTTGTGATTCTTTGGCCTGATGTCTGGTCTGATCGTGATACTGCTCCATCAACAGTCCGATCATAAGATAAATCTTCTTCAGCTTCATCAACGAAAACTTTGGCAGTTTGGTAACTTTCAATGCTTCCTAAATATAATTATAATAAATGAAAATGGTGATTATTTTCAGCAGAAAGGACCTGATCGTTTTACTAGATTACACATTTATGTGGTATAATTTTGGAGGTCGGGTTAAACGATTCTTCTAATAAGAAAGTTTATTAGTACCTTCAATTTATGTGATGATGCCAACTAATGGGTTTTGAAAATATTTATCATGAAAGTGATGAAAAAATTGGGTCATGTTATTACTAGTCCAGTTGCTTACAACAACCTGTTCTTCGGATCCATAATAAACTTGCGGCTTTTATGTAGAATGTATTATAAGAAAGACAGTGTTCATGGAGTCATCTCACAATAAGACTCAAGACTGATAGCTTATAAAACCCACTCATTTGATGTAAAATTTGGTGTAATAGATGTCGCCTAATCAATTCTTCGGCTAAATTTAAGATTTGGACCAAACTAAAAGAGTTAAGGTGAGAATCCTACAATACCATGACCCAGGAATTTACTATCTAGATGAAAATCTCGAGGGTTAAATCAGCGACGAGGAAATCTTGAAAAGAACTTAAAGTCCCAAAATTCATGTGAGGACAATAAATCATGTTCTTGACTCGCAAGCCTGAATTTTGTTGTGATGATGTTACCTCGCTCTGATGATGTCCGTCATATGAC